TCCCCTTACCTTGTGAGGTTGGGTAGCCAGGGTGTGATGTACTCCAGACACAAATGCTTCATCTCAATGTTGGAGTTGCCAAAGCCCTGGATGCACTCCTCCAGGAACTCGAGGGTCAGGTGAGGCTCTTTGGTGGACAGCTTCTCGCTGATAGACTTGATGAAGATGGTGTTGTTGGCCGGGATGCACAGACCTGCCACAGACACACAGACAGACACACTCACTCACACACATATAAGTACAACAACAACAACAATAATAACATTAATAATAATAATAAAGAGCATTTATGCTGCGCAGTTCCATTTTCTAAATAAATGTTTAATGCGCATTACATAAATAAAAATATCACACCTCAGAAAATAATGGATACGTGTGTACGTAAAACATAGTATTATGCATATATATGTATATGTATAAAAATGTATATGAAAAAAAAATATTAACGATGATGATGATGATGATGATAATAATAATAATAATAATAAATAGCATTTGTACAGCACACATTCAAGCTCAACAGCAACCTCTGTGCACTTTATAGTCTAACTTTTACCTCAAACAGACCTGATAGCATTCTGAAACAATCTGAACTTCCTGAAAAGCTCACAGTGCGAGCAGCCATTTTACCAACGCTCAAAAAAACTAATTTACTGACAAGATGTAAGTAAATAAGACGTAGATCTCATTTGAGATGGAGCTGAAATGTTAGGCGTATATTAATAAAAAACCAACAGAATAAACTAGCTTTCAGGGTGAGCCGAAGATGTGCGTTTGCATGTGCGTAGCTGACACATGTTTGTGTGTGTCTGTGTGAGGGGAGAGGAGCCGGACAATGTGAGTTTTGCATGTGTGTGGCTGACAGATTGCGACCTCAGGGCTTTCTTGTCATATCTCCTTTTTTTTTAAAACAGTGACAAATATGACTTCTTCTTCAGCTCACTCTTTGTTATGAATTGTTTTCACTGTTATTAACAAATGGAGAAAGAATGGATAAAAAAAAAAGAAAACTCTGAGGTTGCGATATTAGTTTGAGGAAAAGAAGAGGAGCAGGACTGACCGTTCGTCTCCAGCAGCTGTCCCTCAATCTTGAGGTCAAAGGTCTGGGTGAGGGCACAGAGCAGATTGTAGGCGGCTGACCGCAGGCTGGGGTCAGAGCTACCCAGGTTCAGCAGGGCCTGTGCATAGGGGGGGGGGGGGGAGAAGACCATAGTGATGGGTAAAACTAACATACATGTATGAACAAATACGTACGCATGTATGCCATGCACACACACATAATGCCCAGATTCAGCTGGGCCTGTGTAAGGCGGGAGGAGGGGGGAGAGCGAAGAGAGGGGGAGGCCATAGTGATGGGTAATACACTCATACATGTATAAACTTGATTAAAGTACATATACGTATGCATGCCACACACACCACACACAATATGCCCAGATTCAGCAGGGCCAGAGTATGGGGGGAGGCAGAGGAGAGAGAGAAGATCATTGAGATGGGTAAAGTAATTCACTCATACTTGGGTGAACATATACAAACGCAGGCATGCCATGTACACACACACAATGCCCAGATTCAGCAGGAACTATGGTGGGATGAGGGAGAGAGAAAGAGAGAGAGTGAGAGAGACAGAGACAGAAAGAGTGAGAGAGACGGAGAGACAGAGAGAGAGAGA